CCATCAAAATACCAGCAAAATTCTTCAATAACCTTCAAAGAATCATAATCAACTTTATATGAAAAAAATTCAGCATAGGCAAAACAACCCTATACAATAAAGGAACTTCAGAAGGCATCATCATCCCCGACTTTAAGCTCTACTATAGAGCTATAGTCCTGAAAACAGCTTGGTATTGGCACAAAAATATACAGGTAGACAAATGGAATCAAATCGAAAATCCTTAATTAACCCACATAGTTACAAACACCTGATATTTGACACATCAGCCAAAATTATACAAAGGAAGGATGAAAGCACCTTAAACAAATGGTGCTGGCAGAACTGGATGATGGTGTGTAAAAGACTGCAGATAGCCCCATGCCTATCTCCATGCACAAAACTCAAGTTAATGGATCAAGGACCTCAACATAAATCCAGCCACAGTGAAACTCTTAGAAGAGAAAGTGGGAGGTATCCTTGAATAAATTGGTACAGGAGACCACTTCCTGAACATAACTCCAGTAGCACAGAAACTGAGATCAAAAATTAATAAATGTGACATCCTCAAACTGAGAAGATTCTGTAAAGCAAAGGACACAGTTGACAAGACCAAACAGCAGCCCAGACTGGGAAAAGATTTTCACCAACCCTGCATCTGATAGAGGGCTGATCTTCAAACTATACAAAAAACCCAAGAAATTAGTCACCCAAACATGATATAACCCTATTAAAAATGGGGTACAGTACATAATAGAGAATTCTCAATAGAGGTAATCACAAAGGATGAAAGACACTTAAGAAAGAGGGAAATGCAAATCAAAACTACTCTAAGATACCATCTTACTCTTTCCAGAATGGCTAAAAGTAGAAACAGCAATGACAACTTGTGTTGGAGAGGATGTGGAGAAAGGGGAACACTCCTCCACTGCTGATGGGAGTGCAAACTTTTACAGCCATTTTGGAGATCAAATTGGCCATTCCTCAGGGAAATGGGAATCAGTCTACCACAATCCCCCTCGTAGGCATTTACCCAAATGATCCACACCCATGAAGCCAAGCCATCTCTTCAACTATGTTTGTAGCAGCAGTATTTATAATAACATGAACCTGGATGCAACCTAGATGCCCCTCAACTGAAGAATGGGTAAAGAACATGTGGCACATTTACCTAATGAAATACTACTCTTGGAAAAAAAAAAACAAAAAAACAGTGGAATCTTGAAATTCATAGGCAAATGGATGGAACTTAAAGAAACCATCCTGAATGAGGTAACCCAGTCACAAAAAGAGGAACATGATATGTTCTTACTCATATATGGATTTTAGACTCAGAGCAAAGGATCATCAGCCTATAATTCACACCTCCAGAGAAACTAGGATACAAGGAGGAATCTAAGAGATTCATACATGGTCCCTCACAGAAGGGGAAGGAACAATATCTCCTTAGCATATTGTGAGTGGGGAGGCAGTGAGTGGAGAGGGAGCTAGGAGAAAGAGAGGGGAGGAGAGGAAAGCACATGGGACTAGGAAAATTGATTCAGGGAGGAATAGACTAGAGATAAAAAGAGAGAGATACAATAAAAGGGGAGCCATTATAGGTTTGAAGAGAAAATTGACTCTAGTGACATGTCCAGAGACCTACAAGTATGACCCCAACTAACCATCTGAGCAATAGTGGAAAGGCTAATATAAATGCTCTTCCATGATAATGAGATTGATGACTAACTTATCCACTATCACAGAGCACTCATCCAGTAGCTGATGGAAACAGAAGCAGACACCCACAGCTGAACACTGAGCTGAATTGGAATCCAGACGCATAGAGGGAAGACAAGGCCAGGTACAGAAACCCACAGAGACAGCTGACCTGAACAAGGAGGAGCTAATGAGCCCCCAGAAAGATAGCTGGAAAACCATCATTGGACCAACTCAGACCCCTTGAATATGGGTCTCAGTTAGAATACCTGGGCATTCTAAGGGACCTCTGAGAGTAAAACCAGGATGTATCCCTTGAACATAAAATACTTTGGGTACACATTCCCCATGGAGGAATACTCCATTAACGTATAGGAAAGAGGGAGGGTGTAGTCCCTACTCCAAATGAGTTGAAAGATTTTGTTGACCCCTACTGGAAGGCCCCACCCTCCCTGTGGAGGGGGGAATGGGATGGGAGGGTGGTTGGTCATGGGAGAGAGGGAGGGGAGAAGGAATGGGGATCAATATGTAAAATAAGAAATAAAAGGAGTGTGGGGAGACATTCTTGGGGTGTCTCCAGTCAAACCCAGTATACAGTTTGGCAGTCCAGATGTGGCAGAAGTCAGCTGACTGTCCGAAGGAATGCAGTTGTCTGATTCTGCTTCAGGGTCTAGGAACTGGAATGTGGAGATTATGCAAGCGTATATGGTTCAATGACACCAGGCAAAGCAGCTACATAAGTGTGTGATTACAAATAGGCCTGGAATTATATGATTGCTCTGACAGCTGAGGGTATTTTACAGGAGGAAAATGGCTAAGCAATGTGTGTATTGAAAAGCAGGTATCAGAATATGAAGTCATTGGAGCAGGATCTGCTTCATGGTATATTGCCAAGAAAGCCAGTGAATGAAATTGGATCACCAAATCAGAGCCAGGGAATATGGGAATAACATTGGGCAGAGGAGGTTATGGAGAACATCGTCATACAAATGATTGTTTGATCTGTGTTCCCACAGATATGGTGGGAGTGTGAAGACAATAAGAACAAGAGTGTGTGTCTTATGAATTTACCAGGTATAGTAATTATATGTGACTAGTGCTAATACTAGGAGTGTTAGGATTGTACAAGTGGGCATGATGTGGTCAAGAACACTAGAAAAATATGATGTATAAATTGCTCATCCACAACTAGTTAGACTTTGAGGTATTGTTCTGGCAGACCTGGATTTAAGGGGATTTAACAGGAAATCCATATAGAAGTAGTGATACATGAAATAGGCCATGGAAGATGGGCATGGCCCTGGATAATGTTTTGTAATCTAACCAGTAAATCAGAAAACCATGTTCATATTCACAACTACACATAGTAGTATGGAGAGAGTTCAATAGGAAAATCTGGTGTCTAAGCTACATGACCAAAGATAAGACTGAGACTGCAGAGAGGGAACATACATGATGGATTGGGGAAGTGGATTCTTCAGGAACTGGCCAGAGTTAATTGTAGGGGGTGGAATTATGATTACAGACCTGGTTCTGGGGATTTTACTGGACAATATGGGTATTGAATTGAAGCCTCCAGAGCTGGCTGACTTGTTGAAATGACACAGTCATGTTCAATTCTGCCACTATTTAAAAGGTAAGCCAATGTTGGAAATTCACTACATAGGCAACTCAGGTGTAGCAAACCTGCTAGATGATGGGATTCAGGTGACTATCAATAGAAAACAAAAGAAAAATTAGGTTCTTGATGACACAGGCCAGATTGTTTTTGAGTGTACTGTAGCAAAATAGTGGGGGAACTTAGTGAACAAAATTAGTCTTCAAACAAATGAAAATGGCTTTGTCAGGTGTGGTCCTGGAGAGAAAACAAAGCATATACCATGTATGAGCTATAAACCTCAAGTTAAGTGTTTTAAGATGGAGATACCAGAGTTGTGTTTGATTCTGTTTGGGGGGGGTGCTTACCAGAGAAAGCCAGAGCAGGAAGTTAACAGTCAATCACTGAGTGAATTTAGGATAGGAATCAGGGAAGGATCCTAGAAGGAACAATTGATATAGACATCATGGAGGAGCTCTTGGCAGCATTGTCCACATGCTACAGAATTTGTAGAAAGGGAATACCCAATATTATTGGGTAGTCAAAGTATTAAGTGCAGCTCAACAGCCTGTTTCTAGGCAATGTGTGTCAGAGTTAAAGTCCTTACAGGGGGGTCCAGAAATCTCCATAATGTTGTAGAGGTGAATCCCATACTGTAAGGACTACAGGTTTTTCTGCCCGCTGCCTGATCTTGTCCTGCCGCCACGCCAGCCCCAAATAACACACCAAGACTCTGTATTAGATATAATTTTGTTGGCCAGTTACTTGTTTCTTATCATGGGAACTAGGATGTTGGGGATGCCAGGACAGCCAGGGTCCCATCTTTGAAAATGAATCTAGATTTTGGAAAGCTAACAATAACAACAAACCCAGAACAAACTGCCTGGTCCATAGCAAGCTGGAAAAAGAACTTGGAAGCATGCTCCACATGGTAGTGAAGTTGCAGAAAGAAAAGATGCTATATTATAGGACAATAGAATTTGAATGACATTTTGAGATAATATGTGACTAAAGTTACAGCAAGGGAATCCTGAAATGCTCCTTCTTTTTATGGACACCAAGGTTGCAATATCTTTATGGAAATGGGATAGATTTGGGGTTAAGTGGGGTTGCCTCGTGGCAAATTAAGTGGCAAATGTGAGTAAAACAAGAAAAACAATTCATACAAACAGTACTCCGATCTTCATACCACTTGTTCCATCAGATCCCAGTGTAAACACCTGACCATTTGTGATATTTACAAACAAAAAGGTATATTTCCACTGTCCAGTCTACAACACAGACTTCCTTCTGCATGAAAAGGGCACACACTGTCCACAGAGCCAACACTATGAAGTTTACCTCTGCCTCCATTAGTCCTGCTTACCTAAGGGCCTCTAGACAAAACTGTGGTTACTTCTCTTTGCCTAGGTGTCAGCTTTCTCACAAACCTTGCTTCACTTGGTATTTGTCATGTTTATTTTTGTAACATGCTTTTCACTATTGCATGCAACTGCTTGTTGGAAATATCTGAATATATGATCATGGCCTTCAGAGCTTAGGATGTGAAAACATCTAAAGAAAGGCACATTTTAGACAGATAGAGGAGGAAGTAATTTAGACAGACCCAGAGAATCAAGTTGATGTTTTATTTAGTACAAGTTGATAACTACACGAGTTTTGTGTGTGAATAGGAAATTTCTTCAAAAACCTTCGGACAGATGCTGCAAATGAAGGAGACCACACTTCAGGCCTCTTGATCCGCCACTATGCAAGCACGCTGAGCCTTCACCTGACTCTGTAGTTTCAGTGAGATTATCTCAGAGAGAAAGAAGATCACACCAAAGAGTGACATGGTGGTTGTCAGAACCCCTACTGGGAACACAGCAGTATAGTGCTTTTCTATCAAGGCTTCTTTTTTAACTGGAAAGTCAGGTGGAAATTCGAGAGTAGTTTGACCATAATGATCTGCAAAGTGGTTCCAGCTCACAGAAACTAATGTGAAGAGGCCGCTAATACACAGAGTGAAGGCAGAGACCTTGTAGCAATATATCTGCAGTTCCACAAATGGGTCTCTCATGCAGCTGATCTTAATAGCGATTGCACCAAAAATCAGAACTACTGGCTTCATCAAAACGGCCCACATTATCAGGGTTTGCACATACTGAAATTCAGGTGTAAATGTCCAGGTGGAATTGATAGGGGTATGCACCAGCATCTTAACTACAGTCCCTGAGACATTAAACTCTTGAGGGAAATAAACTTCCCAAAGGCCAAAGGACACAAAATCCACAACATTGTCGTCGAATTCCCACAGGCGCCAGCATTGGCAGCTTGCGATGACGATTTCAAACACCAATGCTGATAGGCTGCTAAGGAGGCCACTCAGCTTCAAGATGCATTCCTTTGCATTAGCAAATCTGAAGATGAGATTGAACAAGGATATAATCAATTCAGGAACACAAGAGAAGCTGGGAGATGTAAATAAGTCATTGTTTACAAAACACTTAGGTCTCATACCTTGTCCCTGTTGTCACATAGTTGCATTTAAGTGGTGTATGTGTTAGGGTTCAACAAACTACAGGTAAGAGTATAAAAACCCTAAATTCCATGACTACAACAAAAGTTCTATCTATAAGAGGTTTGGTTATCAATTTCACTGTAACTATCCTGCTGAAATGTGATTATTTTGTACTAACCATTTTAATGAAAAAGAGTTTACAATATCATATATGAAATGATGTTTTTAAGCATTGTTTGCAGTACATAATTATGATAAGTGACTTAGATGAGAGGTATAAGCAGAAGAGTGTTCAAATATAATTTATAAGTTATATTAGTAGTCTTATACAAACAAACTGAATCCACATATATTGTGTGCTGAAATAACAAAGGAAAGTGACAACTGATTTACATGGTGCACACATTTATGTCAAAATTCCATATTTTATTATGTACATTTCTCTGTATATGTACATGTGTATGATAATGTACATGTGATAGGAAAACATGTGTAAAAACATGAATTCTTTTTACTATGACCAAAATCAAAATCAGTACATAAAACATGAGCATTCATGGATATTTCGATGATTTCCATAACTTATTCAAATGTGCACTTTAAAAAATTTCCCTCATTTCATTGTTGAATATGCAGTATTCTAACTATTTTATATGAATAACTGTCTTCTTGAATACCAAATTAAAATTCTACATTTATTGTGTGCACCAACTTATTTAGATCACTTCTCAGTTCATATCTTTGGATGTATGGGTAATACTCATGAATAACTATGCTCTGAGGGATATCACTGAGTTCTTGAATGAATGATAGAAGGTTCAGGCATATACATGATGATATTGCCATCTCCAATGCAGAAGGAATGAATGGCCTATGAACTGGATCTCCTTGGCAGGATCTTCCCTACCATCCTCACTACTACAGTCTCGGTGGGATGTGCTCCCTAATTTTGTGAAGTCAGTAGCTGTAATAATTGGGAATTTACATCAGCAAGATGGGTTTACAGACTTACGTGGATTGAGTAACACTATACTCATGCCCTCCTCCTTGCCAAGGCAGATCTGAGCCTTTTGAAGTCAGGAACAGTGAGTTTTGAAGTACAGCTAGAATCAGGGTGGAAAATGCTGTTGTACAAGACCAATGAGACAGTGTAGCAAGATCTAGTTGTGTGAATGTCTGAATTCCATGGAAGAGATACACATACTTCATAAAAATCTAATTTAAAACCACCCATGAAAGTAATTTTAAGCCTTTACCTTTGTTTATCAAGGGTGAAGAGATCCATTTGAAAGATTCCAAGGTCATAAATGTCTTCCAAATAACAGGAAATGTTGACTAGAAATGGAGTCACTTAAGAGGTGAGTCACCTTCAGTAAAAGAAGTTCTGTTAGACACATATTTCACCCCAGAACAGTGTCTCACAGACCAACCCCTGATTCATGCAAATTTATACTTTCCTCTCCTGTTTTGGTTCAATGTAGCTTCATTTATACCTTTTAGGGATATTAGCTAATCTGATAACCCCATCCCTGCAAAGAGGTCCACACAATCATTATCCCCTGTTTATAGAAAGAAAAACAACACAGATAGTCTAATTCACATGTTCAACTTCAGGAAACCACACTGATATAAAGGTTGGTGAAGAGTCCAGAGCCCTCACAGACACCTGGGAATTACCAGCACTTATGATATTCAGCAGAATTTACTCACATGGGAATGATGTTAACAAATAGCTGAAACTTAGGTCATTGGCCTCTTTACTCTTCTATATTATTGAAAGTTATTAATAGAAAGTATCTAGAAAATATAAAATACTTGCCTCTTTTCCCCTTCTACAAAAGCCAAATGATAGGGACTGCCTAGTGTAAGAGAGTGACTTTCAGAATTCTTGTTTCCATAGTTACTAGAGATGAATGGCTCATTATGAGCAATGAACCAGAGTCAAGATACATGGTCTTAAAGGACCAGAGTGGTGAATGTCCCACTCAGATGGGCAGACCTTTAAAGGTATATTTACTCTATTAAAGGTATAAATTAATCTGATTAATATTAAGGTTTCCTCATAAAATACACGTTGATCACGATTTCTTCCTTCAAAAACCTTTTCTATTCCCTTTGTTTCCCACATCTATACCTACCCAACTTTGCTCTCTCTCTCTCTCTCTCTCTCTCTCTCTCTCTCTCTCTCTCTCTCTCTCTCTCTCTCTCTCTATCTCCAAAACCCCAAAATACTGGAAAGAAAAATTACAAAATCAGCATATGGCATCAGTTTTGCGTTGGCCAACTATTGCTGGACATGGAGCCTACACTGAAATGTAGTGAGTATGGTTAGTTATATGCCATTGAACAAAACTGATTTTCTTTTTCCCAGCAGTATCAATTGCAAATAGCTTCTCAATTAGTGATGATTCTTTGTGTCTCCTACACTGTTACAGTACTGGGATGTAGTATGGTTTCAAGCAGTATGGTTCTTGCATGTGCTTTCAAAGTCTGAGTTCTTATGCAGTATCAGTGCTGTTGTGTCTCAAGGACATTGTTTCCTAAGAGTTATCTAAAATCTCTGACTCCTACAATCTTTCCCCCTTCTCTACTGTACAGATCACTAAGCTTTGAGGGGAGGGATTTGATGAACACATTCCATTGATGACTGAGTACTTCAATCTTTCTCACAATCTGCACATTTTCCAATTGTGGGTCTCTGTGTTAATTACCATCTACTGTAGGAAGAAGCTTCTGTGGTATGTGAGTAGTGAGGCACTAATCTAAGGGAACAGCAACATTACTTTAGAAGTCATTTCATTTTAATGTTCCTTTTACAGAATACTAGTGGAAAATTTTCCATGGCCTATCTAACCTCAGATTTCTTTGCACTTCCTCAGTGTCTTCTATGGGTTCCATCTCAAGGAATGAACCCATCAAAATGTGGTTGGTTACTCTCATAGCTTTTCTATAGTATTATACCAGTGTATCTTCCAGGCAGGCCACTGCTGCTGTTCTCAGGATTTGAAGCAATTGATCTTGACAGTTACACCCCAGCCCTCTGGCTGCATGTTGTGTAACTTTAAGTACTGTGAATACTACTCAGGAGGTATGAAGTTTGTTTTTGGACACCAGTTCAATTTCTCAGTGTTAAGTTACTTAAGTAATTAGTGTCTTTGGCAATAGGGCCATGCTGTGGAGAGTTGCCAATAGCATTGAAATAGCCTATGATGTTTTTGGTGGGACAGTTTATGTAACCATTTTGACCAGTGACTCAAATTGTGCAATCCATTCCTGTTAGAAGAGGTTTTATTGGTGGCATAAGATGTCTAGTTGGGCAATCATCCCCCACATTATCTTGTGAGTCCACTGAAATTCCTTTCATATATGTACATTTTTTTTTTGGTTTTTCAAGACATGGTTTCTCTGTGTAGCTTTGTAGACCAGCCTGGCCTCAGATTTACAGACATCTGCCTGACTCTGTCTCTTGAGTGCTGGGATTAAAGGTGTACATCACCAACCCCCAACATATATACATATTTTAAGATGGTTCTGCATTAGTTCTTTTTTCAAAAGGCCTTTAGTGTTGTTTGCATCTTACCATATTCCTACCATTACCCTCTTCTCCAATTCCCCTCCTACTATAAGTTCCTCATTATTACTTTATAGCAATATGCTCTATTTATCCTTCCTAAATTGATCTACTCATTCCCTCTACTCCCTTACTACTTACATTACCTGTGTTTATTGGATTGAAACACAGATATAACAGCTTAAAATTTAGCATTCACATGCAATAGGGAACATGCCACATTTGTCTTTTGGGGCCATGCTGACATTACTCAGGATGATTGACATGCCTAAAATAGCCATTATGAATCAGGAGAGCCATAGGTAAGATTTTCTTTTTAAAATTGAATTAAAAGAGAATTACGTTTCACTATAAGAACACAGTGTCTTTCTTTTCTTGTAGCATTTTGGCTTGCCTAGAATTCCATTAGTTTTTGAGACACAGAAGCAGATATAATATTGAAAGTCTGAACTGCAGAGACACTGAGATATTTCACTTTTGTTACAAACAAATCTACATTTCCTCTTTCTGTGGTATATTTTAATCCTGACAGTCATATTGTAACACTGAAGATTATCATGGTATATGATTTTACATATTAACAGTGGTTAAAATGTGAAACTCCTCATACCAATGTACATGATTGAAATGAATCAGATGCAGAACATGAGTACAGAAAATAAGAAAAATGTAGGTGTGGTTTTATTTTTACAAATTATTTCTTTGTACTATTTGTGTTATTTGTTAGATGTAATGACATAGGAGAAAACTCACAAATGCTTTCTATATGAAATGAATTAGTTTTAACCTGCTTAATTTACGCCATCTTTGCCAAGTAGAAAGTGCTTTGCTTAGGATGAATAGAGCAGTATAGGACTAAGTAGTGGAAAAACTGGATTGTCAACAACTCTGCACACTTGACCAGAGGATATCTACTGGACCTGGAGGCATCCAAGGCACACAACACTGGGTAACAGCTTCCCAAAGGGTGGTGATGATCTGTTTAAAATGGTTTTCTTCTCTGTAGTAGAAAGTTTCTATGCAGTGCCAGCAAGCATCGGAAGAGCAAGATAAAGCTCAGAAAGAGGGTTTTCAGAGTGTCCAGGACCAAGGGTAAATGTTCATGTGGTGGCTTCCACAACTCAGCCTTATATGACAACACGGAGAACAAGCTTCTTTGTCTAGAGACTAGTAAGTTCTTCTTAAAGCAAGCCCAACTATTTTAGCTTCACACTTCAAATTCCAGCTATGGAAACAGATTTCCCACACTGGCTTTGAATGGTGCACTCACCCAACCCTTGTCTACCAGTGCCATCCCCACATTTCTAGGTTATTCTAGACACACAGCTTCCATATCAGATTTCACTGGTTGCTTCTCCTAGTAGATCTGGCAGTGATAGCTCCACACTGTTAACTCTTTGCTCTGGAAGCAAAGATTGCACACTGA